ATTGTTGCTACAGAGCATGTTGGGAGGGGTGATTGTTGGTGAAAACTTGGTGTCACCCACGGGAGTCAATGTGGACGAGGTGCAGGGCCTGGTCTCTGTGACTGGGTTTGCTGAACTAGCCTGAGTCAAGTCCAGCAGATTTGGGTGGGGTCCTCTTGTCTAGACAGCAATGACTCAGCCAACTTCATGTGTCTTGTCTGGCCCCAGGCTGGAGTAAGGCTGACCCTCGCTGTGGCCTGGAGAACGGTGACCTCCCAGCCCTGGTTTCTGAGCATGGCAAGTCCTTGTGGAGTTCAGCGACAGCTTCGGTGCACAGTTCTCATGGTGGGTCTCACGTCAGCACCACGTGTAGCCGAAAGTTCTGGTCCATGTTCCAGGGCTAAAGTGTCAGCTGCTAACACTGCTGGTTTCTGTTTCAGGTAGACAATTCACAAGTGTCTTTTAAGAAAGTATTTCCCTTAAGATACAACACAAAGAGAAAAGGTATGTCATGTAGATGCTGCAGACATAGAAATATACATATAGTGTAGTAATTCAGCCATGGATGAGAACACTTGTAAAGTCCCACTGCTTTTTTTTGGTATCAGGGATTGAACTTGGGACCTTGTGTTTGCAAGGCAGGTGGTGGAACCACTGAGCTAAATCCCCAGCTGAAAATCCCACTGTTAACAGCTCAAACACAGCAGTTTAAGTGTGTCTCTTGAATTAGTTTAAATATTCAGAGAACATTTTGTAGTAAAAGGTTCTTACTTCCTCCCAGCCTGCCCTCTGTGCCCTCCCTAAACCCCATAGCAGTGTCACCAAATTAAAGTTCTTTTCCTGAATTTCTTTATAACTGTTTACTGAGAATCATTTTTTTTTGCATTTGTAGTTTACAAAGCAGTTGACCAAAGATTTTTCACCTGTGTGACTTTCTGATGTGACATACTAGCATGATGGGGAGGAGCCTGAGATAGGACAGTATTAAAGCAGGTCCTGCTCGGGAAGGTGCTTGGCAAAAGTGTAAAGACCTCTGGGAAGTGTTCCCTGTTTGTAAGCAAGGATCACACTGCATTACTGACTTCTCTTAGCATTTGCACAGGGTCAGAGGGAGCTTGGATTAACCCAAGGGGAACCTTGGAGGAAGAGATCCCCAAAAGTGTCCGGAAGGCCATTGGAGGGAGCAGAGAGTATTGGGTCTTGGGCACTGCAAGGCGGGAAGGGCAGTGGCTGTGTGGGCAATGGTGGTGGCATTTGGGCCATGAGGACCGGGATAGTTACTTCAGGGGTCAAGGTGACAGCGAAAGTTCTCGGTGACCTTTCTCAGTCTTGTTCTTGTGTGGCCTGATAGAAGGCAGCTTGAGAGACTCAGGCTTACTGAAGATATTGTGGGACACAGTGTGCTATTTTGGATTTTCATTTCACAGTTTTATTATAATTGCATTCCACCAGGCAGTGGTTGAAGCCTTTCTGTGCTGGGGATGTTTTGCCTTTGGTTTTCTACTCCCCCTGGTAACATAAGAGAAAAATCACCCTTCTGAGTGATCAGTGCCAACAAGATTATCAGAGAAGCTTTTTTTTTGTTTTGTTTTCAAGAAAAGATTTGTATAAAGTGGATGCCCCAGATATTAAAATACAAGGGTGGGATTGGGATCCCTTTGGAGAAGTACCTCTGCTTCCCCGAGCGCCACCCGGTGACCAGAAAAGGACCAATCAGGCAGCACATGTAAGTCTCGCAGAATCCATTCAGTTTTGGCATTGGGTCTCATTCATCGCCTCCCTTTCTTTCTTTATGTTTTTTTTTCGGTACCGGAGATTGAACTCAGGACCTTGCGCTTGCGTGGCAGGCACTGGAACCACTGAGCTAAATCCCTGGCCCACTGAATCTGGTTTTTAACTGAGGGTTGTCTGCAGGCAACCCTATGCCTCAAGGCAGACAGCCACCGCTAAGCTGACCTGTCTTCCCCTTCTGCCTGCCCCAGCCCTTCTCTGGGATTGCCCTTCTTTGCGTCAATTCTCCATTCTTTCCTGGAGCCCAAGGAAAACGCACATTGAAACAGCTGCTCCAGTAACAGTTAAAAATGTGCAGAGTTGATAAAATGCCTTCATAGCCATCTCCTTTTGGTTTTCACTTTCGTGATAACTACTTTGTCAGATGGTCGCTCTTGTTTACAGAGAGGAAAGTGGTGAGCTGCTTTGTTCTGGGTGACAGAGGACATTTATCGGGAGTCCAAGCAAATCCAGATCTTGTCCCTCTGGTGGTGCCTGCCAGCGAGGCTCCTGTGGGTCCCCCATGGTTTTGGGTGTTGGGGGCCTCCAGCTGTTTGCTCTTAGTACCCCAGATCTTAGTTCAACTACAGCCTTAAGGCCTTGAAAAAAGGCATGTGCTTCATTGGAGCACATTCTATGGGCTGCTGATGTTCAACAGCCAATCTGAAGCTTCCAGAAATGGTGGCCCAGTCTAAGCTTTATCTGGGAGGGAACAAATCCATTTCACACCTTACTTAAAACTGCTGCCTTCATATTGAGTGACTCTGGCTATTAGCCACCCCATCCCTAATCCATTCTGGAGAGGCAGGTGCTGACAGTCCTGAGATTCCCACTGGTTCTGGCTTGTTTGTTTGTTTTTGGTACTGAGGATCGAACTCAGGTCCTTGCACTTGCAAGGCAGGTGGCGGAACCCCTGAGCTAAACCCCTGGCCCTGGTTCTGGCTTTTGTTTTCAGACCACCTCGGCCTTTCATAGACCCCATGAGTCTGCAAGCTTTGATTTTTCAGGGAGAAGGAAGCAATTTGAAATCCCCAAAGCTTAATTCAAGGCAGTAATAAGTTTTCTCCAGCTCACTGGGAATAATTCTTGGCCTTGTTTTATTGGAGTTATTATTTTTTTGGGGGGAATTAGGAAGCAGAGGGGGTAGTCAAAGGCCAGGGATAAAAGAAACCAAAAAACAAAAGACCAGTTTTTCCTGCACTGTGATTTTAACTTGCTTGGCTTCCAAGTGTTCTGTTTCCGTGGCCAGGCCACAGGGACAGGCTGTGACATGCAGTGTGGCGACTGCTTTCCTGCAGATGCATCCTCTTACCTTTCATCCCTTTGTGGGCTGAAAGGGCAGAATTATGAGATGGAGCCTCTTCAGGCCAGATTCCCATTCTGTAAGGCTTCATCGTGTGTGTGTGTGTGTGTGTGTGTGTGTGTGTGTGTGTGTGTGTCCATGCTACAATGTTAGCCAATCTGGTAGCTAAGGAACTGTTAAAAAGTGAATTTTCCCCATTTTTGGTGCTCATGCATTAGCTTGACTTTGTGACGATCTGTTCCTCAGTGTCATTCTGAGCCTGGTGAGCACAGGTGACAGCTGGGGTCCACAGTGCCTCTGGCCTCTGGGGCTTCTCCTCCATGCTGTGTCACAACCTTGTGTCCTTCACAACAAACAGTAGCCTGCTCCAAGCAGCACGAACCACAGTGGCTCAGTTTTTCAATTCTCTTTTTATAGCTTTGAGTAAAGCTAGATTCACTTCCTGGGACAAGGCTTCTGCTCATTTTCTCTGCTTTTTCACCATTTTTATGAGCACGATAGAAAGGAGAACAGAGCTGGCTGTCACGGCCCTCAGCCTCAGGTGCCCTTCCCAGCCTCGGCCCTTTCAGAGCCCTGCCCACCCATTTCTCTTCTGATCAGGAGGCTCTTGGGAGCCTATCAGTCATTTACACCGTAGTGTGATGAGTCCTCCCTGCAGCTAGAGGGTGTAGTGGCCTTTGCTCTGGAGATGCTGACAGATGCTGCCAGGCCAGTGCAGTTGGGCTTGGGAGGGCAGCCCTGGTCTGCGGGAAGGGTGGTAGCTCTGCAGTGACTTCCAGATAGACACCCCCGTACCCTCAGTGAGCTCAGTGCCCTGTGGGCCCAAGGACATGTGTGTGGAACCCTGGTACTTGGCAGGTGACCCCTGACCTAGCTGGTCTTTCTTTTGACTCTGTGAACTCTGAGTGTTTCTATCTGCGGGGTTTATATTTTTTGATTGTGATTTTTGGCAGGTCCATTCAGTGATATTCTGTGATCTCTTGTTTAGGTATAAAACGATACTTAAGATGCCAGCGTGGTGCAGAGGACAGTGAGCCCTGACCCTGCACCCTAAAGACCTGGCAGTGGCTCTGGACCTGCTCTGGAGGGGCTGTGTCAGCGTGGGCTCCCTGCAGGGGCCCCACGTGCTCGTGGGTAAGCGAGGCCCATGTGGCCTCTGGTCCCAACTCGGGCACTGGGGAGGGTCTGCTGTCCTGAGTTCCTCGCCTGTGCCAAGGTTGTGGTGGCCGGCAGTACTGAGGACACAGCCCAGGCCAGGGCCTGGGGTCCCTGTGGACTCTGAGTGTGCCTCGCCTGGAGGTCGTCGGAGCTTTGATCCCCGAGCCTTTGCCTTCAGAAGGAATAAGACGGAAACAAACGTTCCAGAGAAACGTGGTCACCACGCGTGCTTCCTCCTGAGATGTTTTCCTTGCCACTAACTGGAAACCTTTCCTGACAATCTCAAGTTGCTCTGCCCTCTTTGGGGGCAGAACTGACTCATTTCCTGTGTGGTGTGTGATGTGTAGGAGCCTCCCTCCCGCGTGCTGCGGCAAATAATCTTACCTGACCTTTTGCAGTTTTGTGAAAATTGTTTCTTAGTGATGACAGCGCGGATTGTGTCTCTACGGCAGCTCCCCTCATCGCCCCAGGGCCTCTCCGCTGCCTTCCTGGTTGCCATGGGCACATGGTGCGGAAGTGGCTAGAGAAGGAGCATGTCGATGTGTATTTACCTAACGACTACTCTTAGATATCTGAGAACTCAAACAGGAGCAGCAAAGTGTGACTCACAGGCGCCTGGCCTTGTAACGAGCCTCGCTGGTTTCTCAGGCCCGTGCGGTGACGGGGTCTGGCCCAGATGCTAGGTCTGTCCCCACCCCGTGCGCCTGTGTGAACCACTCCTCTCTAGAAGCGGTGTCCCAGGGCGCAGCCTCTGGGAGCACCGGAAGTGAGAGCGCCGCCTGGCCGGAAGTGGCCCTTCACTCTGCTCTGGCCCGCGGGAGCGTCCGTGCGCTCTGCCGTCGGTTCCGATGCGTGTACAGAGGGACGCTGAGCATCCCCGGTCCAGGTGAGGGCCCGTCCTTCCCCTCCTCTGCTGCTTCTGCCCCCTCCGGCCTCCACCTCCTCCATCACCCCCTCCTCCCTCTTCTTCTTTCCCTTCCTCACCGACTCCCCCCCACCCCCCTTCTTCCCTTTATTCCTCCTTCTCCTTCCCCTTCCACAGCTCCTCCTGCTGAGCTTGGGAGCGGGTTTGGGATCCTCCTAGATCCACATGGCTGTTGTTAGACCTTTATCTCTTCTTCCCTCCCAAATCCTCAGCCACTTTGAAGTTCTCAACATCAGACTGGACCCCAGCGTCCCCCTCCGAGTAGAAGACACCTGTAGACTCTCAGAGGCAGCCCCAGGCCCTGCCCACCCTGCCCTGGCTGCGGCTCCTCCCTTTCCCTCCCCATCACGGTGCCCTGAGGCATCTCTGGATGGGACCAAGCCACCAACGAATTTTTCCTTCCCTGGTACTGGGCATGAACCCAGGGCCTCACAAATGCCAAGCTGCATCTTCAGCCCCGAAATACATATTGAGAATCTGAAAAGCATACAGAGCTCTTGCACAGCAATCTACAAGTAGATCATAAGCCTATAAAGTCAGGGTTGTTTCTGTTCCCCATTGGTGGATTTAATTTATGTCACAAGGTTATAATAATAGCAAGCGGTGGCTTTAGGATTTTATATTTATTTGTTTATTTTACTTTGTTTTCTAACTTTTTCTTTTTTGTACTAGTACGTGTTTACAGTACACAATGGTTACATTTATTGTGGGATGTTTGTACATGTACATAGCACATCTTCATTCTCCGCCCTTCCTGCTTTCTCTAATTCTTGTTCCCTTTTCCAGTCACAAAAGCTCTATTTCTCTTTTCTTCAATTTTTTTCCATCCCTTTTCTATTCTTTCTTTCCTGCCTCTCTCTGCCTCTTATTCCCCTTCTTATTTGCAAAAGATTTCCCTACTTCCTATATCTTTTAAAAAATATATAATTTGGGTTTCTCATTTAAGAGAAGCCATGTGATATTTAAGCCTGTGTGTCTGATTTGTTTCACTTAACATTATGGTCTCAAGGTGCATCCATTTTCCTTTAAATGACCCAAATTTATCCCTCTTCATGGCAGAGTAGTGCTCCACTGTGTATAAACACCGCAGTTTCTTTATCTACTCATCTGTTGATGGACATATAGGCTGCTTCCAAGATTCAGCTATTATAAATTGTACCACTGTCTATTTTCTAACTTCTATGATGAGCATTTTTGGATACAGAAAATGAAAATGTTCTAAGAATACAATGCCAGTCATGGTTGCAGGAGAGTGAATTAGGACCTGGTGGGTCAGGAGGGTATTCACACCACTGACAAAGATTAGTGAACACAAGCTGCTTTCTGATGTAGCTGTGATTCCCTGTAAGGACCCAGTAAATATCTGTCCTGATTTATTGAAGGACATTGCAGCTTACAGAGAAATCAGTTGCCTAGGTAATATAATAGCTACCATATTAAAAAAAAATCAAGTGCTATGTAAACTCCAGGCTTCTGAATTCTCATCCACTCAACAGTCTTTCAACCAACACCATGGATTTCTCGCCACACATCTGAGCCCGATGTCTTAATTCATAGCTTGCAGCTTCTGGGTGTTACAGGAGCCACAAAATAAGTGCAAATAAAAGTGTAAGTTTAAAAGTAAGTGTTGAATCCACACTCTGCTCATGTCTGGGCTGCGTTTGTGCGCAATGCAGGGCGAATGGCTTCTCTGAATGAAGGCAGTGGTTTCCCGGCCACCCAGCTGTGGAGCACATCTGTCCTTGGTGGCCTCCAACTTCACCTGGCTGTCATCAAAGCCCACCTTCATTCCAAAGTCTTACTGTTTGTTCTTCTTATGTTTTCAATTTATGTTATATTTGTGTGTTTATTTTTTAAAATGTTATGGCACGAGTACATGTTGACAGTCCAGGAAGTTTACATTCATCATAGGAAGTAGATGCAGATACATAACACAGCTGGATTCTTTTGTAATCCCCTTCCCTTCCCACCCTCCTCTCTCCTGTCTCCAAATCCACTCTCCCCATTTTCATTCTTATTATTGTTACTACTATTTTTAGCTCATGTTTGCAACTTATAATGCTCACATTCACTGTGGGTTTTGGTATCCGTTCATGACACATCTTAAATCTTTTTACTTCTCCTTCCTTCTCCCTTGCCCTTGGTCTCTGGGATCCTTTCCCATTTGCAAAAGATCTAGCACCCTGTTTCTTTCTATTAATCCTTTATTTTGCTCTTTATTTGTACTTTGCTTCACTCAAATGAGAGATATCATGTGGTATTTAAACATGTGTGTCTTTAATTTATTTCACTTAATATTATTATATTTCTCAGATGTATCCATATTCCTACGAATGTCTCAAATTTATCTTTCTTTACAGCTGAGTATTACTCCACTGTATATAAATGCCACATTTTCTTTATCCACTCATCTATTGATGGACATATGGACCACTTCCAAGATGTAGCTATTATGAGCTGTGCTGCTGCAAACATGGGTGTGCATGGATCACTGTAACATGACATCTTTAACTCTCTTGGGAAGACATAGCTGAGTCAAATGGAATTTCTAGTTTTCATTCTTTGAGGAATCCCCCACACTGACTTCGATGCAGTTGTACTACAGCAGTTGACATTCCCACTTTGCTCCAGTTTTCAGACTCCCCCAGCTCCTGCTGTGGGCAGGTGTAATATCTGCACCCCGCTATCCTGCTGACCTCTTTGATTCCTGCCTCAGGCACCTGCCAGTGTCAGGTCTGTGCGCAGCATAGGTCTGGTTTTGTGGCTTCTGAGTGCAGTGTCCCAGAAGTGCTTACCTGCACTAGCTGTGCCGGTGGCAGCATGGACACCCAGATGCACATAGGAATAGGTAGAATGGACTCAGTGTCTTTAGCTGGCTTGGTGACGGGGTGGGGACACCTGTAAACTCTTCCCAACCCCTGAAATCAAGTGAGGGCTATCCGATGGGACATGAAGTGCAGGTGCAGATCTGCAGAAGGACATTATTGTGTTTATCTTTGTCACACCTGTGTGCTCAGTGGTGTTGGCCTTGGCAGGTGTTGGTGAGGGGTACACACTCCAGTTGCAGTTTTCCTGCTTCTGAATGAGTATTTGACTTCGACTGCTGTTTAATGTTGAGGTTTCCAGAAGCAGCTGTTGTTGAAACACAGCAAATTTACATTTTTTGATTGTGGACTCCATCCAGCAGTCCAACCAGAGATCTGTGACCTGCTGCCTCCAGGATAGCGGAGGAAATGCCACACCGGCCACCTACGTCCTGCTGTGAAACTAAGATAAACACGTAAATATCGAACTCAAGTAAAATCCGCTTTTCTCTGGGGGGAAGAAAAGTAGGATGCTCAACATGCCCCCAGTTGCCCTGTAACCTCAGGAAACACAATAATGTTGGCATGCATTTGTGCCTAATAAAATCATGAATATATTTTTAACAAGGGCAACAATTGGCCCTAACTTCTCTCTGTACCAGAATGGTCCCATCCCAGTGATTCATTTAGCCCTAGATTTTACGTTAAAATCTTACCACATAGGAACCCTTTGACCAGCTAATTAATGTTTGGATTTTTCTTTTTTTAGCACCTCTCAAGAACCTCAACAAGAATAAAAAAGTGGTTCCGCTTCCTGGTAAGAGCATGTGTCATGTATGTCGTGAACGGGTTCATGGTGTCTTAGGCTCCAGGTGGCTTCTCCACATCTACTCTCTCCGCCTGTGAATGCCCATGGAGAATTTCATAATGTGTCTACTTTATTCCTGGCCTGCTTTGGGTGTCTGTGTCCCCATTGGCCTCCCACAAGGGTTCTCTGGTTTTGAATGAACTATGGGCTTTGTAACTACACGTGGAGCCCTCTACGCCATGTTTTGTATGGCAGTTTTTAGGCCAGCTGACAAATGAATATTATGACCTACCCAGGGGCGAATGATCTATCAATAAGTAGTTGCTTTTAGGCAGATCTTCTATGGTTCAGTTTTAACATTTCACTGCACTTACCCTTACAATGTTTTATAAACAACTAGGTGGGGAAAAATAAAGCTCCAGGAGGTTTCAGACAGGAGGCTTTGGAAGAACATAGGTATGCTGGGTGCCCTGCAGATGGGTCAGAAGACAGTTGGGCCATGTGTTGAGTTCTAAAAGAAAAAAGTACAAGCCGGGTGTGGTGGTGCATGCCTGTAATTCTGCATTCTGGAGGCTGAGGCAGGAGGATCACCAAGAGTTCGAGGCCTGCCTGGGCTGCATAGTGAGTTCAGGGACAGCCTGAACTACAAAGGGAGACCCTGCCTCAAAAAACCAGAAACCAAAACGAAAACCAAAAAAACCAAAAAAACCCCCCAAACCCCCACAGAACTGAAGGAACTCAATAGCAACGGCCCATTGACAAGCAGATTTAAAAGGCCAGGTGGACTTGGGAATTTTGAAACTGCATTTTAACATGCAGTAATATAGCACAAATATTATGTTACTATTTTATATAATTTGTATTATGTATTATATTAGTATATTATTCATATGAACACATTTTAATACCTTAATTCTACTTCGAGTTTTGCCCATTCTGTTTTGTGTGGTTCTAGGAAGGCTGTGCATACTTGGCAGTAGGGCAGTGCTGGTCCCTTCCTTCTTTAGTCCCTGATTCTCTCCTTTATCAGACATTCTCCGGGTTTCTCACATGTGCCATTTGGGTGCTTGAGAAACAAAGACGAGGGAGACCCAGCCCCTGTGCTCCTGTGCTTCAGAGGAGACAGACGCGTGCCTGTGGGGAGCAGGGGGTACAGGAGGGGTTCAGCTGGGGATGCGGGGTGCAGAGGATGCTGAGGCAGTGGGGAGACAGGAGCAGCTGGCACCTTCTCCTGGGTGTCACTTCATCCTGGGGGACAGTCTCGGCCCCCAGAGTGCTTGGCAGGTAATCCTGTGTTACACGTGACCATCTTTATTTTTTCTTCTATAGCCACCCTTTTACTCTGCCACTGAAGTTTTTATGGGGCAGAGCTACACACCTTGTATGTGCCAGTTTCCCTCTTCACAATACACTTGAGTCCCTTATGGCCATAGCCCTGTGGTGTCTAAAGATCCTGATTTTTATTCTTGATTTTCAAGAAAGGCTTCACTGAAGCTGGGGAAGCGAAGGTGACGTGTCCAAGAGTGGTCTGAGAAGGGGACTCACTTGTAGTTTCCACTCCTTGGAAACTGGGAGCAGCGTGGAGCCAGGTCCCTGGCTGGGGTGGTGCCCACCCTGTTGGGTGTGTGTGCATGTGGCTCAGCTCTCCTGTTGTGCGTGGCCTTGTGGGCACTGGAGGCAGGGCCATATGGACAGAGCAGGAGTCTGATGTAGGGTGAGTTAAAGGCAAGGGTTGAGGCCCTGGACAGGCACGATGTCAGAATGACCGGAAAGGGGCTGTAGGGTTCAGGGCCTTTGTTATGGAGAGGAACTGAGCAAGGTGAGCAGGCACTGGCCAGGTAAACAGTGGGTGGGGGAATTGAGGTGCCCAGATGCATGGGAGAGTGACAGTGGCTTTGCAGAGACGCAGATTGCCTTTGGGGCCTGGAACGTGTGTGTGTGTGTGTGTGTGTGTGTGTGTGTGTGTGTGAAGAGCACTCAGGGAGGAAGGAAACAGCAGTCAGCTCCTGAGGTCCTGGTGTCTGCTAGAGAGGCAGAGTGGCATACAGAGCATCAAGCCTGCATCTCAGGGCCTTTGACTACACAGGTCTCTGAGAGCTCAGAAAGTGTGGTGGGCTGGGGCTGTCCTAGCTGACTCTCTTTTCTTCCACCCAGCGACTCCGGGACTTCGGTATTGTGATGCTGCCCCTCATGCCCCGGCTTCGGGCTGAGCCACAGCGTCAGCAGCTCTGCCAAACTGTGCTCTCTTTGTCACTCTGAGGAGTTTGGTCTCTGTCACTAGGTAGTGTCAAAGCAGGGGTCAGTGAGATCAAATGCATGGTTTAACTCATTGCTGGACGGCCAGGGGGTCTGAGAAAGCTCAGAGAGCACAAAGGATTCTCACAGGATTCTCTTCTCTGGACAGTGGAGCTGGGAACCAGGCCGAGGCCAGACAGGAGGTGACAGCTGTCTGGGAGGCGACCATGGGGTCAGACGTGGGCACCCTAGGGATACAAGTTTCGAGGAGGGGGTCTTCGGATGTTCTGCCCAGTGGCCCTCAACCAGGAACAGATGGGCTTGGCATTGGTGCTGTGGTTTGACGCCGGGAGAGCAAGCAAGTGTGAATATTCTTCCTGAGCCCTGAAGGTTGCCTTCTGTATTTTGGTGTCTATTCTGTAGAATGCCAGCTCTGGATTCTCTTGTCCTCTGATTTTTTCCTTTTTAATCTTAAAAAAAGTGCCTTCCCCATCTCAGGGACTCAGAGAAAAGCAAGTCTTTACTGTAGCTTTTCAACTTTTAAACAATTACTGGATTGTATCTGTTTATATCAAGTAACACATCTTTTAGTCCTGTTTCTCTGACACTATGCTCATCCTATCCATTGTATGCTTTTCTGAGATCGTGTTTCTACGTGAGAGTAAAAGGGGTAACATATTCAAAAGAACATTGTAATACACTGCATGAAAGTTTTAGATAATCAGTTACTGCTCAGTCACTGATATAGTAGTGACACTTGTCTCTTGGTGATGTATTTCACTTGGTTAGCAGGCCATTATGTTTATTGGTGATTTTTGTTTTATTTTGTTTACTGAAAACAAGAAAAAGAACAATATGACATTCTAGAGGAAAAAAATATACCTGTATTACAAGAAACTCCAGTAGAAATAGAAGCCCAAAGATGAACACCAGTGGAACAGCAAACACAAGAACAGTCAGGAGAAAAAGGGCAAAGACTTGAGTCACCAGAATCTCCCGAACCATTGTCCTCTGAAAATCCATCTCAAGAGCAAAGCTCCAGAACACCAGAATCTCTTGGACAATTACCCTTGGAAGAACCTCTCCAGGAACAAAGTCCTGAGCAGCAGGAGTCCCCTGAACCATTATCCTTGGGACAGTGAACTTAGACACGGATGACTCAGGGACGATAAGAACAACAAATACCACGAAAACAGAATATCAGCTGTGTTGTGAGGAGCAACCTTCTAAAGTTGAAAAGGATCACAAGACAAATGAAAATAAAATCGTATACTTTTTTCACATTAAACTGAAGAGGTATGCCAATAGAATACTGAGACAGTGAATTTCATGTTTTGAGGGCTGGGCCTAAGATGAATTTCCTCCCGAGCTCCTCCCCCTGCTGCCCAGCTGTGCAGCTGGAAGGGGGGAATGTGTCTCCCGAGGCTTAGTACCCGGATGAGACCTCTCCTTGGTAATCCGCCTGTACCCGGTAGCCAGTGTGGCTTGGCCATGCTGATTCACATAAGGCCACGGTGGCTTAGCACAGTCGGAGGTGGGGCGGGAGCATGGTGGAGGGGAGACAGAGGGGCAGGAGGACAGCAGAGGACATGTTCGGATCCCCTGAAATTCGGTGGCTGCTAGCACTGAGCAACTTCAGACGTGTTCAGGACCGTGCTCTGCATCAGTCCTTGCACAGTGGTACAGTGTCCATCACCTCCTATGGGTGGCTGTCACCTAGTGCCGCAGGTCCTGGGTCCTCGCCTGGCCCCGTAGCCAAGCACACCACCCACATGGGCCTCGTCTCGTGAGGACGGCGGGTGCCACGAAGCCATTTCAGAGCTTGCAGAAATTTCCCATCACCTGATCTTCTGTGTCTTTCAGCCGGCCCGGGAGTAGAAACCAACACATCAACCCAAGCACCTTTCTGTGTACTCGACGTCAGCTTTTCTTCAACCGCGGGGCTCCATCTCGCACACGGACATTTTCACAGCAGCAAAACCGTGTTGGCGGTGAAACTAACGCCCTGTAATGGTGCCGTCTCAAAAGCTAAGAAGAAACATTTACCTGTTTAGTCCGTTGCTCCGATTCCTTTGCCTGGTGATACTCTTTTTAGTAAACATTTAAAAGAATGAAATGTGGTTCTTCGTCCATAAGTCTCACAGTGATCATTCAGAAAACTAGAGAAATTTGAAATCACATAGTCCATTTCTCTTTTTTTTTTTCTCGGAATGTGCCCCGGAAGGTATTATTTTGTTTTTATACAAATTGGAAGTTCTCACGAAAAGAGGAACTCAGACACGTGAAGTTAAGGTGTGAAAGCATTTTATCTCCCAAATGATTGCCAAAGAGGAGAGAAGAAAGATCCAGTGTGAGCTGTGAATAATTTTTTTTTTTTGGTACCGGGATTGAACTTGGGACCTTGCGCTTGGGAGGAAGGCGGCGGAACCACTGAGCTAAATCCCCGGTCCAGTAATTTATTAATTATTTACTGATGAAAGCAAAAATAATACCTGTGTGTCTTCATTATATGTTTCCAAGTCTAAGGACAAAAGATTGGATAATGTTTCATTAGTAAAGAGTATAATTTCAGCAAATTATGTCTTTGGATCCCTGTATTCATCTCTGGACATTTGAACATTGTTTTGCTGAGATAAACATGGCTTTTATCTCCACGTTTGCATTATAGTCATTTAAAGAAGTTGTTGGCTATAAACCTTTATGTTTTTGTAAAAACAATCACATGCTATCAACAAGATTAAATTTTTCACCACAGAGAATTACATGTCATTTTCAAGACACTGAACACAGTTAAGAACTGAAGTGTTTTTACTGTTATATTATTGTTAGAATAGTCATTTCTTGGCAACAGGCTTAATAGTTTCATCTTTTTTTTTTTGCTGATGCTTAAAAGGGTTTTAGAAATTGGTATGAATTAAAATTTGTGTTTTTTTATTTTTTTGGTACTGGGGATCGAACTCCAGACCTTGTGCTTGCAAGGCAGGCAGCAGAACCACTGAGCTAAATCCCTGGCCCTAAAATTTGTTTTTCATATAAGGTTTTGTTTTGTTGTTTTGTTTTTGGTACAGGGGATCGAACACAGAACCTTGCGCTTTTGAGGCAGGCGCTGGAACCACTGAGCTAAATCTCCGGCCCCCTAAAATTTGTTTTTAATCTAACCCCAGATGGCAACTGTCTAGCTTGTTCTAAAATTCCCATTGATTTCTGAAAATAGTTCGATTTTGTTGCAAGATCCAAAGAGTTGTAGTAGTTTAACAATCCCATGTTTATATGTTCTAAAACAAACTGGTCTTTTGTAAAAAGTTAAATGTGAACTTTTTTGCCTGCAAGGTAAATTTCTGTGTTGGACTTGTCCAAGGTTGCCATGCTAATTCCCCATACTGCCGTTAGTAACACTGAAGCTCAAGCTCAAGTTGAAATTTCTTCTTTGAGCACACCCAAGTGGCTTAAGATCAGAAGTGCTCGAAAGCACTTGACAGCTTTTAGGAATGTTTCTATAACTTTAAAATGTATTGAAACTCGTTCTTTCCCTTATGATAGGGTGAAGCCTTTGTGTTTGTACGTGTGTGTTTGTGGGAAAGAGATTATTCAAAGAGGAAAGACTGCTTTTTTATTTTCTTAAAGCAAGAAACTGTCATAGATTTGATGGTGGGAATCTCTTTTGATTACTTTCACACTTTTGCTTGATGGTATACAGTGGAGTTAGCAATTGAGAGTGAAGCAAGGGTATAAGAAATTTTGAGAGTGAGTAAAAGGTATGTGATAAAAGCTTAAATGAACTTAAAGGAAAATGGGCCATGGTAAGTATGCATTTAAAGGTTGGACCTTGAGATTTGAAAAGGACAGTGGACAGAACAATATAAATAATAACTGAGAAAGTGGGAGACATTTCTTAGGAACAAAGTTTGCAATTTTAGAGGACAGCTTAGGAAGATATCAAAGGGAAGATGTGATGTTTTCCAACCATAAGACAAGTTTTAATAATGGAGCCTTGACTAGGTAGTTATAAAATTGCTTTAGAAGCTAAGACTAGAAGAAATATTGTAAGGTAACTGGGGTCCAGAACTCCTTAAAGTTGCTGATAAAGATTTAGTAATGAGTACTGGCAGATGTCTCTAAAGATGCAGGATTGTGTGACGTCAGAAATGCAAAAATGAGGTCGTCAGAAGAGGGTACGTGAAGCACTATCAGACGAATTGAAGATGATACAATATTTTAGGCAGGAATCCAGATTTTATATTTGCTTCTGGAAAACGCACATGAGTATTTTATGCAGCTAGGTCTCCATGGGAAGGTAAGAGAGTGTGAGCTATAGGAAGAGGGGCAGGCAGGATAATAACAGGTTAAATCAAACCTGTTTCAACGGAGGAGTGGAGAGCAGGTGTTTCCTGGTTGGAATCATAACATCATGAATTGTTCAGAATTTGTTTTGAATCATAGATGCTTTGCCAGAACTCAAACGCACTGATTTTGTACCCTTTGCTATGGCAGACACCCACAAGGCAAAACTGTGGAAGAACGTAAAGTGGGAGTCAAATAAGGCTATGGATTGGACAGTAGAACCCAACCTGGGTTCATAACAAAATAAGCAAGTGGAGAGTTTGAATACACCACTGGGCTTCTGAAGCCAGCAGCAGAAAGCAGAAGAAAAACTCCAGGAAACACATTTCTCTCTCAAGGAAGAAAATATGGCAAAGGAAACTCTTTCCACCACCACCAAAGGAGGAGAGGCTGTTCAAGGCTGGCAAAAGTCAAAAGCCTCTTAGATAAAATTCTGGGAGCACTTCTGGTTCGGGGATCACTGTTCATGGGTCCCGTCTTGGGTGTTTGTGACTGCTGTCGTCATGGTGATGCCCTTGGGGGGGGGGTCTCTCTGCCTGGAGCTCCCAGACTCAGGGTGGGGGCTCCTCTCAGTGTGGGGGTCACACCTCAGTCCCGGGATGTGCAGACTCAGCTTCCCTCCTGCTGTTGTCCATCACCTCCCTGACTTTTGGGGTTTGATTGTGAAGGGGTTGGGTGCAGATCTCTGTTTTGGAGTTTACCAAGCGTGGTGTGAAGATGCTGATTGGATGAAGACATCCTTAAATGTCTCAACACAATGTCTCCGGGCTTTCCTGAGGGTCCACCTTCAATACATGGTGAGAGGCTTTCAGCTCTACCTTAGCCTCTGCTTCCTGTGTGGGTAGCCCCTCAAGGTCAGCCAGAGGTGACAGTTTAGGCCCTCGTGTGTTTTCTGTGCTCCGTGCTTGTGCCTGGCCACATGGACCCTCAGGAATATGTTGGAACTTTGCAAAGCCCTCTACAAGTTTCTCACTCCCTGATTTTTCTTTCAAACAAACTCGGAATTGTTTGGTCATCCCTGTGGTGTTGCTGCACCAGGTAGCTGTGATGTGACAGTTGTCACTCTTGTTTCTGGCAAATGCCCTGGGGACAGGGCTGCTCACACACAGGGCCAAGCCCAGGGTGGTCAGCTGTTCACAGCACTGCCCCACGGGTTGGGAGGAGCAGAGCACTGGGTGAGAGGTTTTGGGGAGCCCCAGGTCCCTGCTGCTTCTCCCAGAGGTGGGGATCAGTGGCTGCCTTCACAGCCTGGGTGTTTACCAGGCAGCTCATTTTCAAGGCCGCTAATGAGCACCAGGCACAGAGGCTGGACCAGGGCAGGTCCAGACACCAGAGTTTGCCAGGACCCGGGTATTTGTCTTGAACAAGTACTGTTTGATAGCTACAATCTTTCATTTTTTCTCTTTCAATTTAGTTTGTTGTTGTTGTTGTTGTTGTTATTGTTTTGTTTTGTTTGAGACAGGATCATCTCACTGTGTAGCCTAGGCTGGCCTGGGACTCTTGGTGATCCTCCTGCCTCAGCCTCCCAAGTGCTGAGATCACAGGCATACACCACCATGCCTGGCTTTTGGAGCTTTGAGAGAGCTGATTTTGATCTTTTTTACTAATTCCTTCATTACTTGTATGGAGGCATTGTTATGGCTTGTGTCTAGATGTCTCCCCAAAGCCTCATGTGGTCACAGGTGGGATTTTTTCAGAGGCAACTGGTATGCTGAGGCTGGTATGCTGGAATTAAGGGTCCTCCACCCTGGGTGTGGGTGGCACTGCCCAAAGGGTGGGTAGCCTGGATGGAATTTAAAGGCAGGTTTGCTGCTGCTGCTTGCTTCTGCTTATTGACACTACTTCTGCTTGGCCTGCTATGCCATGAGTTGTTTCTCCTCTGCGATGCCCCACTGCCATTCCACTCTGCCTTGGAGCCAGCCAACTATGGACTGAAACCTCTACAAACTGAGCTGAAATAAACCTTTCCTCCTTGAACTTTGGGTGTCAGGTATTTTGTCTCAGTAACATGAAAAGTAACTAAGACAACTGTGGTCCTCACCCTGGTGTTTCCTGTGTGTGCTTGGCCAATGGGAGGAATGCGGTTCTCCGAAGGGCTGCTCCTGCCATGTGTTTTCAGTGCCCCTCTTCCTTGGGTCACAGGAGCACAGGGTGGGAGCAGCTGCTCCTGCAGCCATCCACCTGGGGGTGCTGTGGGGTCTTCTAGCCGACCAGCCCCTCTTTGTCACAGGAGTGGAAGGAGGAAAGGAAAAGCCAAAGCTCTCTCCACTGAACCAGGAGTTAGGATGACCACAGTCTGGACAGGACCACTTCTGATAGTGGGAAGGGGACTAGAAACAATCTGTGTGAGAGCAGGGAGGAGGAGGAAGAGGAAGGGAGGGGAAGGAAGGAGAGAGATCTCTTGACCACTAGATTAATTTTATCCTGTCCCTGCATCTGAAGATCAATTAAATAACTCATTTATATAAAATATCTCTGCACATTAAAGCAAAACAGATGTTTTAAATACTGATTATCTGAACATAAAAGTCAAATAATTATTCTTGGTATATATGATGTGTGTTCCTTGTATTCTTAAAATTATCTTTATGCAATATCCCATGCCTGGTATTAAAAAATGCTTGAAGTAGCTCATTATTTTAATTTTTTATAAATTTTCTTGTTAATAAAGTCAAAATTTTTGACATATCCAATAGGCTTTTCTCCATACATGTTAAATTGTGTTTATCACTGAGGAAATATTCTCTGGAGGTGGGGAAGGATTTGGTAAGCTCAAAACACATTTTGCCAAATGTAGGAAATTCTCAGTTCTATTTTTAGAATATTGAAATTGTAAGTACATCAGGCATATATTTTAGTAGTTACTGTCTTTGTGCCTTCAACCATGGTGACTTTTACTGACAATTTTGTAAGGTGAACTCGCCAGAGGAGTTGTTTTTAGTGATGATTCTTTTAACACTTTATTAAATTTATTTGCTGCCAAACTCTATAGGGCCTCTCACTTTTCCCCCTACTGTGGTACAAAATATGAATTTACCCCATTAAAAATAGGGGCTCTATCAAAAATTTCTTCTCGTAAGTTGAGATATTTCCAGGTAAAATTGCAGAAGGTCACAATCCACATGTGCTTTTATTTGGTGTGCTGAGTACGACAATTTCAATGAACTCTGTTCAGCCTTTCTTTCCAGTAACTGCAGAAGTGCCCAAATGTCAAAAATGAAAGGT